AATGCCAGCGGATAGGAAGGATGTGGGCAGCGCTCTGAATAACGGTCAGCCGGACACTCACTGTGTTTCCCACTGTATCATATTCACGGGAAAACCCCCCGAGGTTCACCGGAAAGGTCAAGTGTGGTTACCCAGAATGCCCTTTCTGTTGGACTATTTTTAGATTAATTTAATCATTTTCTTTAGCAGATGTGTCATTGAATGGCTACCTATGAAGCAAAATGAAATAATTTGGGGCACTTCAGATGGAAATAGGCACATTTGTTTGCTTAACATTTGATTGGCTGGTAGTCCCGAGACTTTTGTAAAGTCTGCAGTGATTATATGACCACCAATAACACAAGTAATAAAGACTGGACTTCATGGGCAGACCACACACGTGTCATGACAAACGCTCTCCTCCTCCCACTCGTTCACACTTATAAACACACTCACACTATTCCAGTGTCGTGTCTACGGTTAATTCAGTGTGCTCAGCTGGGCATTAAATTCAAAATCTGACATGGTGGCCAAAGCATTCAGGCAGGGGCTCCAGATTTAAACCTTGCTGGTCAGTGCACTTTTAATTTTATGAATACGACCTCCTCTCCTCCCACCTGTGCAAACCTAAGTGGGGTTTTTACGTCGGGACCCCCACGGCTGTACTGTTAACAAGGACTGCATAGACGCATGCAGTGGTTGTGGTTTATGCCCAAATGAGTTGGACACTTAAGCCACAGTTTAAAATGCATGGACGTAAGCATTAAACACAAAATCATTAACATTTTAGATTCGGGAGCAGTTCTCACTATTTGCACATATTAACGCCTTATTCTGCATAATCATATTTTAGACCCCTTAATCCTACCTCATACCTAAACTTAACAACTACCTTACAAACTATTAATAAGCAGCAAATTAGGAGTTTATCGGGGCAACCGTCAGAGTTAATAGTGAAAACTGGTCCCCAAACTAAAGTGTGACCAAAATAGTAGTGGCATCTACAAATGGTGAACGTGATTTCACCAAGTACAACATGTTCCTGGATCAACATCCTTGTTGATCCTGGAACAACATACCAATCAACCAATCAGAATTGAGGGATAGGTTTTCAAGAAATGTCAGTTTTAGGCTTACAATCAGGGTTAGATGCTTCTACATACTTGTTATTCACCTATCATGGCTGTTACTTAGAAAAGTAACAGCCATGTTACTTAGCTAATTTTGCAGTTATTCTTAACTAAATGGTCTCAAGATATTTTCTAGAGGATGTACGAAGTCGGTTCCCCTCAAGTTCACACAAGTGTCTATAAATGTAGTTTATCACATTAACTGCACCATTTACATCATTAAACAGCAGTTACTGAAGTTTTCGAGTGACTCAATAGTTTGTGTATTGCTACAGTAATATACAGACACTGAAAATTGTCTTCAAAGATTGTTTTACAACAACTAGAAACAAGTACACTACTGTTCAAACATTTGGGGTTTGACGATTGAAAGGCTTACTTGTATGTTCCAAGGTTGCATTTATTTGAACAATTAAGAAACCATTTTTATTACAATTAAGAATAACTGCTTTCTGTTTTATTCTATTTTATGTCATTTAAATGTAATTTATTCTTATGAAGCAAAGCTGAATTTTCAGCATCATTACTCCAGTCTTCGGTGTCACATGATCCTTCAGAAATCATTCTAATATGCTGATTTGCTGCTCAAGAAACATTTCTTATTTTTCATCAAAATTTAAAACAGCTGTGCTACTTTATGTTTGTGAAAAGCATGATAACTTTTTCAAGATTCTTTGATGAATATAAAGTTCAAAATGAACATAATTTATTTGAAATAGGAATCCTTTTGTAACAAATGTCCTTCCTGTCACACTTTTGATCAATGTAATGCATCCTTGCTGAATAGAAATATAAATTTTTGAATGTTACTTTTGAACGGTATTGTATATATTAGAAAAGTTCTAGATATAAAAGTATCTTTTGTGGCCATCAATGATGCTCACTACTTCCACGTTGCTTACTTTTGCAGCCCAGAGAAGACAAATTAATATTTCCAAATACCAAAAATAAAGAACTACAACAGAAGGCCCCAGTCTGATTTACACTCTCTGCTTTTAAATGAATGCTCAAGTCAGCATCCAGCCATATAAAATAAAACATCTAACATAAGTAATTTGCAGAACACATACACAAACGTGATGTCACAACAGTGGCCTGTAAAAATACAGTAAAGCAGTGTTCCCTGTTCCGATGTCACATAACCATTTTATTGAGCCTTTATTTTTATAACAACACCTGTGCTTCCAAAGGAGGCCAGAATGATTTTGGTATAAACACAAGAGTTACCACAAATTCCCTGACCTTTGTGTGTCCTCAGAAACCTTTGAGAGTCTGTGTGTAATGCCCCCATTCTGTTGCCTTTCACATCAAATCAGCTCATATAAACAGATGGGAGTTTGTATGAATCAGCCTTTTGTCTTTAAAAATAGAAACATTATGTAAACAAAGTCACCCATTTTACGCTCGCAGGGCTCAAATAACAACGTACAGTCAATGGCATTAGTCTGGTTGTGAAACAGAGGTTGGAAAAGAGATTGGAAAGTTTTGCAACACTTCAGACATGTAGAGATGTGTAAAACCATCATGATGGTTGGTTGAGTAATAAATGTAAAAAAAACAAAAAAAACACACAACAACATTTTATGTGTAAGCATGGAAAGTTGGCAGATATAAGAGAATACGATATTCACCAGTATGGTAGGAGATGTGGAATCTGCTGAATAATGTGATTGATTGTTCTCTCTCTAGTGTAGTGTCTGTAGTCGTGGATGTTTGGAAGAGAGCTGGAGAGGGAGTGTGACGTGTGCAGCCCTTCAAACAGCCTCGAGCAAACCGGCCAGTTGAAATTTTCCTTAGTCTGCCCTTTATAGCTTTATCTCCTTCTGCCCCACTGTCTGTGACATAACGTCAATTCAGCCTGACGTGTCTGCTTTACTTAGATGAGCAGATCCACAATGGCCCAAAGACCCCATGCAAACAACAGCTACTGGAGTACAATGACAATATATTACAGTGCAATATTAGATATTCTTTCGCAAACGTGCTATACTCACAGGTCGGGCTTTCTTCTTGCTGTGTTCTTGAATGCAGTGGTTTTTCTTCTTTTCTTCCGGTGGATCCCTCTCTAGTTTGTTTCAGTGCAGTGGTGGCACGTCTTCTCTTCTATCCTCACTCCTCAGCCTGATAGAGTGAGTGTGGAGACGGACAGCTGGACTGTGAATGTATGCAAGGGAGGGAAAGACGGAAGAGAGGAGAGAGGGACAGCCCATTCCGACCCCCATACAGCCCCCCTGCACGGCCATCCTCCGCCCCCAGACCCCTCCTCATCTGACCCCCCAGGATGAAAATTCCTGGTCTGCGGCCCAAATTCCAAAATTCCAAATGTGTCCAGCTCAACGACAGAAAACAGCATACAGATTCACACACACACATGCAGCCAACCCCCCTCCATGTACACATATGAGCCAGCCTCCACGCACACACACACACAAGCAGAGACCCCACCTGGTTTCATTTAAACGCCCTCCACAGCCTGCAACTTTCTTTCTCTCTTTTCCCCTCCACCTCAAGTCACCCTTCATCTCTCCCATCTTTTTTGGTCTCTTGCTCTCTCTATTCCTTTCATTCGGCTGGATATTTATAGCTTGGGAGAAGTTGGTGGAATGTAGACAAAAATTAGAGAGCAAACTAGAGAGAGAGAGAGAGAGAGAGGAGGCGAGGGTAGAGTGAAAGAAAGGAGGATAGGACGCACGTCTGCTTGGAAAAGTTGTTCACTTTTTTTGCCATGTCTAAATATTGAAACTGAAGGTACTCTCAGGCTGATATTACTAGAAATGAAAGGTAATGGAAAGACTCACGTTCTTACTGCTGGTATACTTTTACTTCAAACAATAGAGCATGAAATAAGAATTGGAGTTTTGGTCTGTCTATATGCTAAAGTACTTGTCAGTGTTAACAAAATTAACTTTTAACAGATATACATATTTGAAATCATTCTTCTATGGCATTGTTGCAAAACCTGATTTTGGAACATTTATTTTTAAGAGTGTAATACTGAGTTCAGAATACCAACTAACATACTACTTAAGAATACTATGTTGATATAGGGGGAAGTTGTGGCCTAATGGTTAGAGAGTCGGACTCGTAACGCAAAGGTTGCGAGTTCGAGTCTCAGGTCCGGCAGGAATTGTAGGTGGGGGGAGTGAAAGAGTTAAATGCAGAGCACTAATTCCTAGTATGGGTAACCATACTTGGCCACATGTCACATCACTTTTTTTTGTTTTGTTTGTATTCGTAAAAAACATGTCAGTGATATATGCTTTTGTATAGTTGAGGCTTTAGATGTATGTAATTAAATAAATTGTTATACATTGTACCTAACTCAGTTGTGTCAAGTCACAAAATCAGTTGCGCATTCCTGAGGGATCACATTCAAGCTTCATCAAATTATACAAATAAATAAATATTGTTTTGCTCTGCAAATGACAAAAGGGCAAACAAATCTGTTTGCCATTACTCTTATACCAGAACACCTCTAGAGTAATGTGGTAGGCCTGACAGCTGTCATTACATACTATTATTGCAAACACACACACGTACACCGTGCCACCATGGCCTGACAAATTGTGGCCCCCTACTGCTTTCCCGTCCCCAGTGGGCCCACACACAGACCTCACACCCATCATGCACCCACTTACCCTAATCAAGCCAGAGGGGTCAGGAGTAAATAGACCATAAAGACTCACATATAAGCCACAACATCCTTTGGACTGTTAGCATGTTATTTACCATTAAGTCCCCCAAATTATGTCAGTCAAAACAAGTATGATCAGTGCATAATCTTGTTCTGAACCTCCATCATTACCAAATATACTGGGGGTTTTTTTCAGTGGGTTTGCTAAAAGGGAAAACCCACAAAGGAGAGTTAATGAAAACACAATGCAGACAGTGTCTGTGGAAATCATGCTGTTTATTTACAAGTCATACACTTCTGGATGCCAAAGGGTGAAAGAATGAAGCAGGGATAGAGGGAGAGGGAGGTGAAGAGATGGACAGCTGGTGGAGGGACATATTTAAGAAAGGATTAAAGAAAGTAGATGATAAACAGGGAAAAATTAAACATCAGGCCTAATATTCATCAGATGCACGACTGCATGCAGATGAGTTCTGAAGGGGAGAGAAAAGGTGTAAATGGAGATTCTTCTTCAGTCGTGGTACATTCTAAGGATGCAACTTTTGATAACTCCCATGTACCTGGTCCAGACAGCATGGTACCTGAGAAAAAAAGAGGGAGACAAATTTAAAAATGTGTCACAAAACATTTTTACGTTTAGAGCATACACGTTTAAAACGTCATCTCTGAACAAGTTGTACTTTCTCCGTTTATGAAAGAAAAAAATATACTTTTATTCAGCTTGGTCTTATAAGTGCTTGGTCTGTAAACACATGAACATTTGAAATGTTTACTTTGATATTTTGATGCGAAATTCTCTTTACATACACTACCATTGAAAGCTGTTTTTTTTTTTTTTAAAGAAATACTTTTATTCAGCAAGGATGCGTTATACTGATCAAAAGTGACAGTAAAGACTTCAACAAATAAATAAATGCTGTTCTTATGAACTTTCTATTAATCAAAGAACCCTGGAAAAACAACACTGATAACTATTAATAATAACAAGAAACTTTTATTAAGCACCAAATCCGCATATTAGAATGATTTCTGAAGGATTATGTGATACTAAAGACTGGAGTAATGATGCTGCAAATTCAGCTTTGCCATCAAGAATAAATTACATTTTCAATTTTTTTTATTTTAAAACAGTGTAGTTTAGGATAAATACATACTTTCCAAATGATGTGTTGTGATCAAGTGTTGTAATTTTGTTTTTTATAAACAGAAACAGTGGTCAAACCACATAAATGACTGGACAGGAAACAAAAGGTGACTACAGACCCCCACTGGTTTCAAAGAGAATTTCCCCTGAACAAAGACCTCCATATGCAGCAATTGTTTAAAACAAATCACCTTGCACACTGTGCAACAAATATAGTGAGACTTACTTGAAGGTGTCAAGGATATGTGCCGAGTTAGTATAATGAGTAAGGTAGAGGTTCACGTCTATTGATGTCCATTTGTCTGATCGACAAGGTTCAATAAACTGTGAAGAGAACAAGGAATTAATGTTTTGTGAAAACTTCAGCACTTCAGCTCTGTTAGTGCTCTTATTAAATTTAAACAGTACCTTTTCGACAAGGTCAATGAAGAAATCACGAACATCTTTTGCGTTGATTAATTTGGCAGCAATATTTACAAGGCCCCTTGAGAGATTCTACAGCAGGAGATATTTTGAAATCAAGAATTATGTAGAAAAGCATTTATTTCACAAGCAAACAAATCCTCTTACCTTAAAATTGGCTTCCATCTCATTGAAGACATTGGTTTTACCCCTCAGAGCGGTGCACACTAAACTGAGTGGATGAGAGGTTTCATTATTCAGATGGCTGAGACAGAGGGAGTAACCATGCAACATTTGGACATGTACAACGGCCCTCCTCAGACCCGTATCTCTCTTCTCCCTGTCCAAATCACTCGCTCACACACACCTTTTGTGTTGGTCTAAGAGATCCTTGTCTGTGATTAGAATTTTGAGGTCTTTGAGGTCTTGAAGGAATTCCTTATCCAGATCTACATCCATGTCCTCCATCATGTTATCTAAGAGAGTACAGAGAAAGACATAAAAGGAGATATATTCATCTGTCTCAATATTTTTCTAAACTACACAATTGGTCAGACTGACAGTGTCTATTAATAACCTCAGACTAGATGCTCAAGAACTGCAGATGTTAGGACATTAATAAATCAGGGGTTGATTTTACGACAATGACCAGTTGACTGTATATTCTCACTTCATATTTGGCTCCTTAACAAATAAACGGATATATAATTATATATATATTTATATATATTCTATATATATAAATCTATGCATTATAATAACAGAAATATTATTAATATTGTTTTTAAAAACGTAAAATTTTATTAGCTGACTGTATATTATGTAGGGAATCGGCTGCCTGGCATAATGGTCATACAGTTTAGTGGCCATTATACAAACATATTTGACCATTTATTGCCATGATTGACCAATTTCAAGTATTGCAGATGGCTGTGTAACTGGTCTTACCCACAGCTCCAACAGTCCAGTTGTTGATGAGCTGCCCACCACAGAAGGCAAAGTCCTGGAAGGTTAGATACAGCAACTTTTTCTTCCCCGTCTCAAAACGATTATTGGCAAAGAACACTATTGCAGCATAGTCTCTGGAGGAGGAATTGGCAGGATCATTTAGCAAGAGAAGGTGAAAACACACCAAATCAGCAATGAAGCAACTGTTCATGGAAACTTGCGTTCTTACAATGTTAATGAACATACAACTGGAAGAACGGATACCTATAGTAAATAAGTAATATAGTAAAATAATCATTTCTAACTATGCTTTGACTGCTCTCTTTTGCTTTGTTTTTTTCCCTCATTTTCTGAGCTCAGTTCTACCGGCATTCAGGATTAATTAAAAAGGTTTGGAAAGAAACGTCTCAGAAAGAGACTTTCTCACCTGGCTAATTGATCAGGTAGCAGAAAGTGTTGCCGTATGTTTTCCACCAGGGGGCCCTTGAGTTCTTCCACCACTTTGAACACTCGCTTGAAGTTGTCAAACTGTTTTTAAGGGGATGGGTATAATCATTTCATTTCCAAAAGGGTCTCGGAAAAGTATCCAAGCATAAATCTTAGTTACCAATGAGAAGTTCATAATCTTAGGGTGTGTTTATACTTGGCAGGTTTGGTTTGATTAAAACGTACGCTGGTGAGATTGCTCTGTTAGTATGGTTCATTTGAATAAGTACGAACACTGCCAAACAAACCTTGATGCAAACCAAACAAGTGCTTCCAAACAAACTCTGGTGCGATTTGACTGATATATGAACGCAACACGGACCAAAGACATCTAAACTAACCAAAATCGGGACATGATGTCACAAGATGCAACCCTGAAAAGACAGAATGCTCAAGCCTGTTATAGTTCGGTACAGACATCTGAACCACTGTCTCCTTGCAGCAGATCTCTGTGTGTGCAACAAAAGAATTCCTAAATCTGTTTTGACTCCTTCACACATTTTATAAGCTCTTTGTGAGCTGGTAAAAATACCACCACATGTATACATATACAACAAGTGCATGTAGCCCAGCACACAGCATTGTTTCGGATGTTTGGTAAGTTTGCAGAATATATGTCATAAAGCTGTCCAGGTTGTGGCCATATCCTTATGCCTTTTGTTTTGTATCTTTAGGTTTGGTGTTAAACCTAAGTTAAACACTAAGCTAACCTGGACTAAATATAGAATTTTCTTTTTTGGACCTGACCAATAGAACCAAGAGAATGGAACTTCAAGTGTAAACACATCCTTAAACGGAGTCCTTCAGCCCACCTGTCTTCTGCAGCTCTTCAGCGTAATGCCTGTCTTTATACTAACATCATCAAGGTCTTTTTTGGTTCCTTTGGAGAGCTTCTTTCCCAGGACCTCTCGAACAAATGAATCATCAAAAGCATAATACCTAAAAAGGGAAATGCAAATAAATGTTTTAAATTGAATAATGACCAAATCATTCTATTTAAATTGGCAAGACGCAAACCAGTGCATACCTTTCAATGAGCATGGCTTGTCTGTCTGGCGGTATCTGAAATAGAAGCTGATTGGCTAGTTTAGCTGGGTGGGGCAAAAGTCTCTCACACATCTGGAAAGTTCTGTACTGGTCCATGGTGTCACATGTTTAATTGTGTTACAATTATAAATGGAATGCATTTTTAAAAAAGAATCCATCATTATGGCGATAACTGTAGCCTCTTCATGAAAGGGGTTTGTCACATGTTTAATTCCAGGTAGAGTTAAAAAACTGAGAAGTTAATGACATCACAATCCTGCCCTAGTACTGTGTCCTTGAGCCATTTACTAGGAGGAAACATCTCTGTCCTATAGCATACTGTATGTCATGAAACAAAAGTATCTGGGTAGGAAATGTCAAATTAACTAAACTTTCACATTACCAAGTTCACTAAATCACTTTATGTATGTATGTATTTAGAACTGTACTTTGATAATGTAAAGGAAAATAACAACTATTTTACAACTAGGCTATATAGTTGTTTTAAAGGGGTCATATGGTGCGATTTCAAGTTTTCCTTTCTCTTTGGAGTGTTACAAGCTGATTGTGCATAGATAAGATCCCTGAAGTTGCAAAGACTAAAGTCTCAAAACCAAAGAGATATTCTTTATCAAAGTTAAGACTGCCACGCCCCCCTAAAACGTCTCGTTCTAACACGCCCCCACATATCTACCCCACTATGTGGAAATATTAGCATAATGCCCAAATGTGCACGCAAAGAAAGAAAGCGTGGTTTCAGTAACCGCAGTTAGAGTTGAAGCAGCCATGTCAGGGAGACGCTGTGTGTTTCTAGGCGAAAGCAAAAGCACTTTATTTGGCCTTCCGAAAGTAGATGCATTTAGGAATCTTTAAGATTACTTACAACAGAACAGCAATGCATTTTATGGACGACAGTTTTGTCACGCGACTCTGTTGTCCTTTCGGGCTTGAACTGATGGTAAAACTAATGACATTATTAACTGTCTTGATATTTACTTTGAAAGCTGACGCTCGTGATTATGGTAAGGGGCGTTACATTTCCGACAGGTGCTTGTGGTGTTCGGCCAATCACAGTGCACTGGGTCAGCTGGCCAATCAGAGCGGACTGCGCTTGTCAAAGGAGGGGGCTTTGTAGAAAACGAAGCGTTTGAGAGAGGCGGGGCATAGAGGTCCTACAATAATGTACAGTATTTGAAAAATAATGTGTTTTTTGAACATTAAAGCATGTCAACATATTCTGTTACACCAAATACACAAAATAATGATCTTTAAAAAAGCATCATATGACCCCTTTAACATAATTACATTACAGTTTTAAACAATTATAACCAGACATGCTTACTATGTTTTTACTAAAAATCCTGATTTACCTGACACAAGCATATTTTATTTTTAGGTATTATGCTTTTGATGATTTGTTTCTTCGAGAGGTCCTCTGCTGGTTCCAAAGCTTGAAAAATATCACTTTTTTACATTTATTCATTTAACAGACACTTTTATCCAAGTGATTTACAAATGAGGAATACAACAAGCGATTCGTAAGGAGGCAATAACATGAGAAGTGTTAAATACAAAGTTTCAAACATCATCTATTAAGCTACAGAACAGAGATTAATAATTTTTTTAAAGACTCAATCATGACTCTTATCAGGTGTGTTTACAAGTGTCTATTTTCAAAAAATTTCTTAAATTCTGACAGACATACTCTGAATTTACAATTTGTTTAATTCATATTTAAGTACATGACCATCATTGCCAGATTATTAGAATATAATAATAATGTTAAATGTTTAATCCCCTGCAGCAGCTTAACCAACATAACTCTTTAAAATTCAAATTGCAATTAACTCTCATTGAATCCACCAAAGGGCACAAGTATATTTTCAACACTGCCTTATTATTCTGCACCTCTCACCTATTGTCTTGCATGCGGTTGTTCACACCTCCCTCTCGTTTATCCGAAACTGTGGCCTGTTTCCATTCTTACTCCAGCAACCCCCCTCTCACCCCTGGCCCTGGTTAACACCCCACATTGTTATGTCCTCATGCTAGCAATTGTGCTGGAGAGCAGGGCGGAAGGATGTGGCTAAATACCGTGGCTTAAAGTAGAGAAAAAGCTTTTGTCACCCTTTCCGTTAGTTTTGTGTGTCCCCTGTAGTCTCATCTCAGCAGTGGGAAGACCTCATCTAGAGATACATTTCAATATAAACCTGTATTAATATCCTTTGCATTGTATCTTCAGTGTGTTATGAGTATGGTGAAGCTTTAGACATTAGAAACAGCTGTGAGAGGGGAACTCACTCACCAGGATACAGTACAGATTTTTACGGTAAGGGAAGAGGGGAGGGGATGAAGAAGGGAGGGGAGGAGAGCAGGAGATGGGGGAAGACATCACTGCCTCCCCAACCACCACAATCGCCAAAGGAAACACTGTAATCTCAAGGAACATCTCAACGAATTCCTCAGGAATCACCACGAAGTAAACTCGCAGGCAGCCACCATACATTTCAGCGTCGTTGATTCGGATTATCCGACATTGACCCTTTGTAAAACCGACCAATCGCATGCAGCACTAGTATAACCAGCCTGTCCTACATTTCGACTCTTATTTATTTATTTAATTATTTATGATATTTACAACGCGTTTTATGGCGAACGCTAGCGATTGGATGTTTTGCCTATTTAGACATTAAATCGCACCGTGGTTATTTACTGGACTGCACTGGAATGGGTAAAAGCTTTAGGGCGGAGAGAGACGGACATTGTGATCCCTGATAATACAGAAGAGAAGAGATGCTCCACGGGGATTATTTTAAACCTCCGTGTTGACCTCTCATCCCAGTCCGAGGAGCAGAAACAAACACGATTGCGCTTCAGTGATTCCCAGAAGCCAAAAACTGAGAAATTAATGCGGCCAATTACGATTTAAAGCACTGAGGAGAGAGGTAGGCCTGTTTAGTGTGTTACAATCGGGATGTGTTTAATATTATAATCGTTAAACATGACAAAAAAGCCAGTTTGCATATAAGAATTGTGTTTTCCTCCCTTATTATAGGTTATAAATAGCGGAGCGAAGAGGAAATGGAGCTTTTTCTTCGTGCCTGGATGAGGAATGTTGCGATCCATTTACAGTGACAGACATCTCATGTGCCTCGTAAGAGTTATTTTATGGTTTAACCGCTGTAATAACAATTGATGGTGAATTTTTGTACAATATGGGGAGCGACAGTGAAATACTGAACCGGGAGCTGTCAAAGATGTCCGAAGAAGACTTGCTGGCTTGTTCTAAGGAAGAGCTGGTGAGTCGACTCCGCAAAGAAGAATCGGAAAAGATGTCCGCTCTCATACAGCGCGGTCGATTAATCAAGGAGGTCAATAAACAACTGCAGGGACATCTGCTTGAAATCAGGGAACTCAAAGTCATCAACCAGAGGCTGCAAGAGGAGAACCAGGAACTTCGGGATTTATGCTGCTTTCTGGACGACGACCGTCTGAAAGTGAAGAAGCTCGCTCGTGAGTGGCAACTATTCGGCCATCACGCTGCTAAAGTGATGCGCGAGGACCTCGGCGGATACCTCAAGAAGCTCGCCGACCTGGAGCGGATGCAGGACGGTCTGGTGAAGGAGAATCTGGATCTGAAGGAACTTTGTTTGGTGCTCGAGGAAGAGTGCGTGAGCAGAAGTGATTCCAGCCCGGGTGGCTCCACGGATCTCAACATACCGTGTATGGTGGCCCGGGACGTGGGTGACGGGAGCTCCAGCACCGGGAGTGTTGGCAGTCCAGACCAGCTGCACTTAGTGTGTTCACCAGATGACTGAAGGAGAGGAGCTGAGCCATATTACTTTACCCTTCTCTCTTGATGCCGAGACAGACTTTTTATGTCTACTAAAGTAGTTTACATTTTCTGACAATGCCATCTCAGCTATTTCGGTGGAAATAGACTTTAAAGTAGGCTAGTTTACTCATGGCCTTTTGATGCCATAAATACAGTTTCTCTATATTTCATTGATTAACATTTTATAGTTGGCAGACCTTTAACACTTGAGTGAAATTATTGGGTGCCAGGCAAAACAGAATTATTTTTAAACTTTTAAAGTGACAGCCTTTCCTTTCAAAATCAGTCCTCCTGCTGGGAAATCCAGCTTAAAGGGGATAGTTCACACAGAAATGAAAGGTTTGTCATCATTTACTCCCCTTGATGTCTTGTGATTTCCAAACCTGTATGCTTTCTGCTGTGGAGCACAAAATGAGATATTTTGAAGAACTCCATTGACTTTTAACCTCTGAATAAGTGTTTTGCAAACAGGGGTTCGTTAACCCCTGGGGGTTTTAAGGGAACTGCAAGGAGTTTGTTAGTGGATGAAAAGCTAATAATTAATTAAATAATAAATTTGCAACATTAAAATAAAATTTAAAATAAAAAAACCTAAAACTAAATAACACCTACCGACAAAGATGAAATATTTTATTTGCTTACCTGCATGTCATGCTGACCATTAACTGGTATCAGAGAACCTTGAACATCATGAAAATTAACTGTTAAATTATTAAAATATTAACTAAGGGGGTATTTCAAGTAAATATTTTAGGTTAAAGTTGTTCAGCTAGCAAAAAAAAATTGGGGGGAGGGGGGATCCCAGGTGAGGCATTTTTCAGAATATCTTCTTTTGTGTTCTGCAGAAGAAAGTCACACAGGTGTGCAACAAATGTGAATGAATCATTTTGATTTACGTTCTTTTTAAGCTGGTAGCTTTGTTTTTGGAACATGGTGGCTGGTTTCTACCTGGTGCATGCTAGTCGAAAATGATATGACCAACTGGTCTAAGATGGCCTTCCAGCTTGAACTTTCTAGAAACCATCCACCATGTTCCAAAAGCTTCAGATTTTCCAGCAGACCTATTTATTGTATTAGTAGCATTATTTGAATGTATGATTTTCCAATTGTTGCAGGAATGTTTCCTGTCATCTCTTATAGGGGTTGTAGATAGGGGCAAAAATGTAGTTTTGGGGTTGACATTTTCAACAGCATAGAGAGAAACTAACCATACTGCTAACTTGTACCAGGTTTTACTGTGCACTGATGTTCACGGGCTGGTGTTTCTCCTACGATGCACTCTGACAGGGCTGCAATGAATCTTGAATCTTTAGAGATTCACATTTTTACTGATTACAGCCATATACTATGTAGTGATCTGTTTAAGATCATTTACAAAAAGCACTGAATCTATTTCAGCAATGGAGAGGAAATGGAAGTATCAAAGGATTGTGCAAAGCGAAGCCTCCATTGTAAGCAGATCAGATTTTTTGTGACGTAATATGACTATATCACGGAGGCCCAAGAATGATTCACTGGAAATGCACATGTTACTAGACCACTTTTCTATAGTATGAGATTGTTTTTTCCTGTTTATTTTGAACTGGACAGTATAATTCACTAGATGTAATGACGTGTGCTCCACTAAACAATGTTGCTGTGCTCTGCACTGAATCCAAAATGAACTTTCGTTTGCATTAACCCCACTTTAACTACACAGCTGTACTGTACAAAGCTTTTTGTGTTCAGTTGTTGCTTTGACAAAATTTAATTAATACACACTGAATTGACACTTTGGAGGAGAAAACATTGACATGTAGTTTTAAAATTATTGTGCTAGATATTGTTATTATTTTGTTGTATTTGCTGCATACTACAAGAGCCTCCTACATGGGATTGTTCTGTTGTACATGTTTTTAATCCAGATATATGATCAGTATTATTTCAATGACTGAAGTTTTATAGCTACAAGACCCAGCTCTCTGATTGGTTAGCATTTGCTTTGTTTCAGGCTATACTCATTGTGAGTGAGATAGCTTTAAATACACTTGACTGACACATCATGTTCTGTTCTTGTCTTTTTTCCTCATACTTTCACTGTGCATGAAAATATATTAAAAAAATAAATGTTGATAGTTAATTCTTTCTAGCAAGCAAAAGGCTTATTCTAAAAGCATCCCCCTTCAGGTCGGGGTACATGTGTCTTTTTGCTGTGAAATGTTTAATGGCTTTTGAGGAACATTTATTTGTATATCTCTCAATCATCATTGTATTGTGTTGCGCAATGAAAACTACAGAGCTTTGATCATACAACTATTTTAATTTTAGAGACATTATTGGGAGATATAGAGTGACAACTGATATTTATATTTATATGATCTCATTGATTTGCATTACAAGCTATCAGAATTTCGTCATACTTTTTGGCCATAAAAATATAAACAACTGCACCAAATTGCATACTTTTTGCTCTGTTTGGGCCTCTGAATAAAAGTCCTCGAGTATGAGCCCCATATTCTCTTATGTCATTCTATATGCATAAAACCCTGATGTACAACATATGATGCTCAATATCCCAGCTAACAGGGAATGTTCTCAGAACTTTGGTTAACTTTCTTGCAAGATTCTACCAAAGTTCTGCTCAAACTTTCGCTTACTTTTATATTTACATTTAATCATTTAGCAGACGCTTTTATCCAAAGCGACTTATAAATGAGAACAATAGAAGCAATCAGACCAACAAGAGGGCAACAGTATACAAGTGCTGTAAAAAGAATAGAATAAAAAAAGAATAAAATAGAATAGGTTAGTGCTAGTATTAATTGGTCAGGTTTTGACGAAAAAGATGTGTCTTTAGACGTTTTTTTGAAAATGGCTAAAGACTCAGCTGCTTGAATTGAGATAGGCAGGTTGTTCCATCAGCTGGGAACAGTCCAGGAAAAGGTCTGTGAGAGTGATATTGTGCCTCTTTGGGTGTCGTTCACTTGCAAAACGCAAGCTTCTGGAGGGCGCATAAGTCTGAATTAGCAAGTCTAGGTATATTGGTGCAGAGCCAGTGGTTGTCTTGCAGGCAAACATCAGTACCTTGAATTTGATGCGAGCGGCTATTGGCAGCCAGTGCAAACTGATGAAGAGAGGTGTGACATGGGCTTTCTTTGGCTCATTGAAGACCACTCTCGCTTCTGCATTCTGGATCAGTTACAGAGGTTTGATAATACATGTCAGAAGGCCCGCCAAGAGAGCATTACAATCGTCCAGTCTGGAGAGACTGATAGGAAGGGTCTGATCTTCCTAATGCTGTATAAGGCAAAACTGCAACTTTCTTTAAGTAATGTTAATAGAATGTTTATTCAAAGTTATCTGGACTGGGGCTGCAAATTAGCCATTGGCTAGTAGCCTGTATGTAGAGCATCTGCAATGTTATTCTGCATTGTCCCTGTTAAATGAACAACTAAAACTGTTGTCACATGTTCAGAGAACATTAAAAAGTAATGTTTGCAAAATAATAAAATGAAATGTACCCTAAACATTTGCATAACCAAGAAAATTTTATGTTTCAGAGAACATTCAGAAAATTTTTTTTATCGTAACTTACTGGGAAACTTAACAAAAAGTTCTTAGAACATATCATTAAAAAAATAATAATAATTCTGACAATCATTTCATATGTCAGGCTTTGCAGGGTTAAAGTA